TTGTCTTCTTTGTGTTGGGAGGAGGGGGAATCTGGGCAATTCACATGGCTTTGAGTATTTTGCCTTCTGTGACATTCATCACTAGACCCCAGGGCTGTGCTGCGACACTCGGACCCTCAAACTAGGGCTGTAAGCTGTGCAAAATGCCTGAAGCCATGCAAGGGCCCCACGTTCTCTGTGTACAACTCAACACCCATTAGGACCAATAACATCTTTTTAAAGCAAAATATATAATTTGGCCTTAAACTCAGCCGATAATGTCCCTTTATTTTTTATCTTTCCTTGCAGCAAACATTCCTTTCACACCCACACACATATCAGCATCTTCACTCATTGGTCTGTCTTTGCATCTGTCATAGTTTCCGTAGTCCAAAGCAGTTGCACATTTCAAATGCCTCAGTTCTTATTCTCTTCTGCCATCTCTGGCGTTAACAGCCAGAGCAAACAAAGGACCAAAATATCTGTCATTTTATCAAATTGTTTCAATTTGTTTCTGGCTCTGCAGTTGGTTTGGATGAGGATTATTTGTGTAGCTGATTTGTGTAGGCTAGGTGGTTCATAATTGTGGTGGAGTGCACGCATGTGTGGCTAGAACTGGTTGTGCGTTGGAGTATTTCTTTGAGGTGCTCTTTGGTTGCGTGCTGTGGGTTCTGCTTTGGAGCCGACCTGGTGTTTTGCTCTCTGTGTTTGTGGTGGTATTCAGTTTGCGTTGAGTTGTTATTTGTTTTGCATTTGGATTCAGCAAAATCAGATTCTTCTCGGGATCATGGGGAAAGATGGGTGAAACCGGAAAGGGTTCAGAGGTTCGGTTTGGACAGCACCCAAAAGAATGGCTGCTTATCTACCAAGTAGCCCAGTCCCTGGAAAAGAGCTACTAGTCTCAAAAGGCCTTCTAATAAGAGCCCCAGAAGTCCCCATTTCTGAAATACCACCATAGCCCTCCCCCATGCTATTTTTGCTCCTCTACTTCCATCCAGGCCCAGCCAAGAAGGGAATGAACAAAACAGCCTCCAAAAGTTAACCAAGTTTTTTCTCCCCAGTCTCAGACATTCATCTTAGGGACACAATGGGGGATGAAAGCTCCTGTTTTCTACACTTTGTTGACTAGTTGCTGCAGACTAGTTGCTGGAAGCTGCAGACCCAGAAGAACAGTGGCAGGAAAGGGTAGGGCATCACTGGTTTCAGGCAGAAGGGGCTGTTCTTCCTAGCAGTCCATGTTAAACACACAGGAGAGCCTCAGCCCTCTCTGCACAGTTGTAAGAGTTTAAGTCTTGGAAGGTCCTTGTGTCTAGGATCAATCACCCTTTCAAGTCTTCCAGGCTTAGTCCCCCACCTTTCCAAAAATCAGTGAGGTTGTCTTTTATTCAAAATCAAAATCATTCCAAAAATCAATAACAAAAGGAATAAATCAGCAGTATTTGGATAACCAAGCCCAATGAGCACGATGGGGACAGTTTCACAGGTGGGTTGGCACAAGTCTGAGATGCTGTTGGGAAATGATTCAAACAGGCACTGAGTTACAGCGTGGTCCACAACGTGCAATTGCTGTTTGCAGTCACTTTGGGCATTGTCTCTTATCTTCCAGAAGAATATGATAAAACCATCTCTGCTGTGCCATGTTCTGAAAGGATTCAATGAGGAGCACTGGCTGTGGGTAAGGCTGAATCCTGGAAGGTCTTCTGTGGAGTCGGCAATTAGGTGGTGGGATGTTATGGGATGGGATAGGGTCATTAGCATCCTTCCAGGAATCTTTCCAGTATGCCCCAGGACTGAATGAAGACACTTGAAGATCTTTAGCCCAAAAGGCTTGTGAGGTTTGATGGGAACAGTTTATTCCAGACTCAAAGAGATATGAGCTGCACAGCCCTTCTTTGCCTCAAATAGTTGATGATGATCCTAACAGGATGTTGGGAAAGAATCCGCCATCGTTTAGAGGCTCCAGACAAAATCTGTGACAGACATATCACACTCTGGGGATATGCGGGGAACACAGTCCTGCCATAATCCACAGGAGCTGACATAGGTGCACCCTACACATCCAACATAAAGCATTTGTCTTCACCTTCAAAGTCCTTTGCAGCCTGTCTCCAACCTACAAATCAATTCTCAATCAATGTCATGAAGCTGACTCCTACCACCAACAGCCTCCATTAACCACTTAGATTTTTAAGCTAGCACCTCCATCAGGCTTGGGAGATGTTCCACAAAGCTACCTCATTTTCCTCTATCGAATCCCTCTTAAAACTCCTCTTTGCCATGGTTCCTGCAGAAAACTCATCAGTGTTTATACTGGTGAAGTGCTATGATGGCAGCTGCTCAGGATGAGCCGTATTGTTTCATTGTTGCCTGCATCCATCTCATCTTTTGCTTATACTTAGATTGCGAGTTGTCGGGGGCAGGCCCCATCTATTTGTTCTGTATGGAGTTCTGGTCTGTGACTGGAGCTCCCGAGGGCTCTGGGGACACAACTAACAAGGACTGGTCCTGCACACTTTCCTTTTCAGATGCAATGCTCTGCCATCTCCCTAGGGTGACAGGAGACCTGTGAGATTTGTCCTGCTCATTCACTTTCGCAATATTCCCTTCTTTATACAATGGCTTCAGAAAAGGACTTATCAATAGCTCACTGCTTAGAGGTTCATTCATTGCATAGAACAAGATGGCCCAAAAAAACAAAAACAGGCCACTTGCTACCTTTCCTTTACTATATTGACTGGCTTTGCTACGCATAGAATGATCCTTTTGTGCAAGAAGGTTGGTCCTATCCACAGCCTGCTCCTTCTATTTCTTGATTTCTGTTTTCCTTCAAGGCACCCATTGCTCCAAGTCACCCAAAGTGAAAGGACATCCCCTATCCCACCATGCATGAATGTGAACAGGGATCCCTATGTTTTGAGAATCCCTGGGGATCAGTACAGATGGCTACTGGATAAAAGGAGCATGAGTACTGAGCGGTAGCCTTTCCTGATCTTCCATGAGAGACAGGCCAGGACCCATGGAGGATCCCTGCTGGCTTCAGAGCAGCTCCGACTTCTTCTGCTGCTCTGACAGCTTCATCATGGCTTTGCTTGCACATCTGAGCACTTCATGCTCCATATAAAGAATTTCTTTATAAGAAAAGGGCCAGGATAGGGACCATGACCCCCCCTGCTCCCTCCCTGTTAAGCTACTGTCCCCCCTTCCAGCCCTTTGATAATTAATGTGACTAACTTCAATTTATAGAACCTCCCTTTATGCACCTGAGTGCATGAGTCACAGAGAGGCAGGAGCTGTCTGACACTGCAACAACACTACCCGGTAGTTATAGGACAGGAAGTGAAGAATATCACTATCCGGTTGAAACACAAAGCACAACATGCAGGAAGCAAAAAAGGCATCCTGGTGTGTCAGCCAAATTCAGGCGCACCATACTGAAAACACTGTAAAGTCCCAAGTGACAGGTGATCAGTATGCTTCTGACAGGCAGCACCCTGCCACCTAATCAATGCCCTGGAGAGGCGATATGCACTGACTCAGAGGAGGAGCACCAAGCCTGGTGAGTCACCACCAGCACTTCCTGCAACACCTTGGGTTTTCCTTTGAGGTCTCTTCTGGTAAGGACCCAGCCCAACCCTGCTCAACTTGTAACCAGATCCAAACAAGGGATGGGATGACCTGTAGGCTGCCAAGCCTCACAGCCAGCCGGGACAGAAGGGGTGGGAGTGCCTGAAGCTCATTTTCATCCAAGGAAAACTTCCTCTCTTCAGTGCCTCCACTTATCTTTACAAAGATCCCCTTCCCTAGACAACAGGGGGTTGTCTCTGTAACTTTCCTAGCCCTGCAGCCCAGCTGTCCTTAAGAGGTTGCTTTCCACCACATGCACATTATTTTACTTGATCATGGATCATCAGTTTGCTTCAGCACTCTCAAAGCAAGTTGTGCTGTGGCCTTTTGCACTGGGAAATGCCTGTCAGGAGGCAGGGAGGCAATTAAGATCCACAGAGAGACACTGGCAGTTCCTCAAGAGTCGAATCCTCTGGAGTATAAGAAAGGGTTCCTATGTGGGGGGGAGGTTAAGGAGTCATTGATCAGTGACTAGAAGGTACACACACACACACACACACACACACACCCCCATATACATATATATATACACATATACATATATACATACATACATATACATACATACACCCCCCACATATATACACACATGCATATACACCCCCCACACACACATACACACATGCATACGCACACATATATACACACATGCATATACACCCCCCCGCACACATATATACACACATGCATATGCACACACACATTTTTACCAAAAAAAAGGAAGAAAGGGTTAACAAGCTTTGAAGCTTGGAAAGAGATAGGGTGGGGCTGATTTTCCATTGTCCTGCCCTTTATGTGATCATTTACACCCGGACTAAGGGAGTGCAACAGGCTATGGAACTAGAAGGGTAGTATTTCATATCTAATTTGCACCTCTGTAAATGGTTGGCAATGGAGAATTGGGCCGAGGTGTCAGAAGAAAGCAGGCTGGACCACTCCTCAACAAGTCCATGGGGACACTGAACAGCACAAGCTCCGAATGGCGCCTGTCTCCGCTCCTCCAAAGCCCTTCGCTATGTGCCAGGCAGCTCTTTCAAGCAGTTGTACCAGACTGTCACTCCCTATGAACCAGAAGAGTCCTCTACACAGGTACAAGCCAGGGCACTGATCTCCAGGAATCCAATACATCTGCTGCATGGAGACGTCCTGCTGCCCACCACGCACAGGCAGAAGTTGTGCTGGCCGGGCAGAGCACGCGAGGAAACCTGGCCCGTCCATTGCCCTTGCTGTACCTATTCTAGGGACCTCATAAGCACTGCTGCCCTGGCCCCATTCACCAGCTCTGCATCCACTTACTGTTTTAAGAAAAAAATCTTTAATTCAAAGCTTATGCTGCCTGTTTCTTTCATTTTCCTGGTAAATTTGTCATGGATCTGACCTGCACAGTGAACAGATACTTGTGCCCACAGCTGATCCTTTATTTGTCAACACAGGAGGACAAACCACTCACTTTTTTCATTTAAATGGTGTGCTACAAAATAAAAAACTGGAATCTAAAAAGACCGAAAGTGCTTCCGAGAAATGTCTCAAAGGGTTGAGATGAGGCGAACAGTCCATCTCATCGGCTAGCTTAAAGACTCTGCTTTATGGACTGGAACAAGTAGCCAGTTCTGAACTTAGAAACAGAAGAGGAAGATAGAGTATAAAATGTACTGTGGTATTCTGCAGCAATGATCCAACCCACGAGAGCTTAAAACTGCATCATTGAAATGCTTGGGGCCATCTCTTTTGTAAGGGCAGAAGCTGAGGAGGAGGGAAAGGTGACTGTATAAAATCTGACCTGCTAACCCCTAATCAGTGGATATATATTTGCAGCTAATGCAAGGTCTCCATCAGCAATCTCTGGCTGTACCCACGTGACGGTAACAACAGCCCTGCTGTTACTCATATCCACGTGGAAATAGAGGGTCTCGATTGTTAGCAGAAATCCCCTTCTGGCAGACAAACTCCTCCCTAGCTCAGTGAGTCCAAATGGCAGTGCTGCTTCTCTCATGGGCTTAGACTCAGTCCAGCTAAAGTCTGAAGGGGTCTCCAGTTTGCTATTCACAGGCCAGCTTCCCATCAAAGCTGGACAGGGCAATGGCAAAAGCCTGCACAGCACACATCGGGTAGTTGTAGTCCATGGTGAAAGCATCATCGGCCACGCGGCCAAACTGCATCACAATGTAGTCAACTGAAAGAGAGGAGAAAAGAAGCTGTCAAGACAAACATACCTATGAAGAGGTTCATGGCCTACAGGAAGACTTGGCATCTATACCTGTTTGTCAGCCATGTGACTAAGACCTGAGGCACTCAAATTCAGTGCATACTTTTGCAATTTCTGGCCTAAGAGGCTGCACCCAAGGCCTCACAATCCGTGGCAGAGCCAGGAATTGAATGCAGCTCTCCAGCGCTGGAACAAGTCAGCAAACCTCTGAACCCCCTCTAGTTCCCCATCTGTACGAGCGTGGATTAATAAGCAACCCTGCCTTTCAGAGAGGCCAAAAATGTAGTTTCGCAGGGGGTGTGAGGTGTAACTCATTAATCTTTAGAAAGTACTAGGAAATCCTTCTGGGGGCTGCCCAGTGCTGGAGGGTGGGGTGGGTGAATTGGAGCCACCCATATCCATCTGACCCACCCTCCAGCCCCGGCTGAAAACCCCCCAGACCAAACTCCCTCCACTCCCTTCCTCTCCTCCTGTTCTGAAGACAGTGCCAGGACTGAGCTGCGTCAGCCCAGCCCCAGTCCCAGCGCATGCAGACACAAGTTACTGTAGGCACTGCATTTTGGAGCGTCTTCACCCAAACTCGCACGCAATGAGGGTTCAGACTGTTGCAAGATCAGGCCCTTTTAAAGCACTCTGTAGCCACGCACTTGTGTTTGGTCATGGCTGTAGAGTGCTTCAGGGGGCAGATCGGGCAAAAATTGTCACTTCTGTCTGCACCTGTGTGAAATGGTTTAGCGAAAGGTCATTGGGCTCCTATTGAAATATCACACAGCCAAGCAGAAGGGGCCGGGGAGGGTGGGGCTGTAGCTTGTCTGCAAAGCTCAGCCACCTGCCTGACAAAACTTTGTCATTTAATCCAGGGACCCATCCCCTTCCCCTCCCCGTGCAGCTCCTTTACAGTTAGGAACCCAGGGCACGGGAGTCTGAACCGGATGTCTCTCCAGAGAGAAACTGCCCCCTTGGTAGAATTCCTGCCCGGGGCATTCTGCACGCTCTGGTGTGCCACCCCATCCCACCGCCCCGATCACGGCTCTCTTTGTTACAGCAGCGAGGGTGACAGGAAATCTGTAAAAATAACCAGGGGCCCCTGGCAGGTTCTGTCTGTCCTGTAACCCAACACCCGGGACACCAACATCCCCTGATTGGACTGGACAGGTGACGAGCCAACAAGTCCCTCGCTGCTCACGCTCTTAGGAAAGCGGCTTAGCTGCTGCTCAGCTATTCTGAGGTGGTCTCTCCAGGGCATGTCAGGGGCAGAGAGGGTGGGGGCTCCCCAGCACTCCCAGGGGGATCAACAATCTTGAACTTTGAACCTTCTGACCTTGGGGGATTTTCCAAATCCAGCAAACCCTGGAAGCCAATGGAGTAAAGGGCTATTGTCTACAGCATCTGTCCCAGAGCAGAGCAATGATGGGGTTGTTCCAGCCTCGCCCCCTGCTCCTGAGCACGGAGTCTGTGCAAGCCCTAATGTGCCACTTGTGTCCACGGAGCAGATTTTCGGATGGCCTCAGCACCCACATTTGGGGCAGGGCTTTCCAAAACCCCCACCTCTTCCTGGGATGCCTGAATTAGTGACTACATCTCACCCCACTGGGTGTTAAGCTGTTTTGGCAACCTGGCCCCAGTGGAAGATGCTGAACACTTCACAACTGAGCCGTGAAGACTTTATTTTTGGCAGGGGGATGAGGAGGGGGATAATAGCAATCAGGCCCACAGAGCTTAAGTGGGGGCCAGTGGGCTCACACTGGCCTCACGACAGTGATGGATTTCTCTCGCTCTGCTA